TCAATATACCCTTCTCCCTAAACACACTTTTGCAACTTTGCCTATATGCCATTCTCTTAATAGATCTTATTGTTCTGTTTTGAACTACAAATATTTTTTCTATCAGGCTGTTCTTACCCCAGAAGAATATTCCATATTTCATGACAGACTGAAAATTAGCAAAATACATAATCTTTTGTACTCCTTCACTTAAATATCTTCCAACAATTGGTATTTCATAGAGCCCTGAATTTAGTCTTTTCAATAAGTTGTATGTTCACCCCAGTCAAAAAATTCGTCTATATGCAGACCCAAAAATTTTGTGTACTCAAATGATCCCCATCTACAGTAAGAAACTCAGGCTTTCCGACTCTTGATAATTTTGTTCGAAATAAAACTATACTTGTCTTTTCTTTCTTCAAAATAAGATTATTTCCCTCAAACCTGTCTCCCATATTGCGGAACTTATGGGTGGACCTCTGCGAGACGAGCGCAGCCATCTATTCATCAATATGTTGTTTAATTACGATACTAAACTGACTCACTCAAATGTGCGTTATTTTCACTAGATTAAAAATTACACGTTTCAGGTGAATGTCTTACTTGAACAGTTCAACAGTATATTGGTGATTAGATGGCTGCGGAACTCGCTGCGCTCGTCCCGCAGAGGTCCACCCATAAGTTCCGCAACAATCCACTTATTTGGACTTGAAAAGTAACTTATTATATAAAGTCAGAATTTGTAAGATTATCCACTTTTTGTCAATTCGTCTTTCAACAGGAATTAATAATGTTACTTTACCAAACTAGTAATATATTGTGACAAGTTATTCAAGTACAAACGAGTGGATTGTTGCGGAACTTATGAGTGGACCCAGCCATCTATTCACCAATATGTTGTTCAAGTACGATACTAACCTGACTCACTCAAATGTGAGTTATTCTCATTAGTTTAAAAAGTACACGTTTCAAGAGAATATCTTACTTGAACAGTTCAACAGTATATTGGTGAGTAGATGGCTGCGGAACTCGCTGCGCTCGTCCCGCAGAGGTTCACCCATAAGTTCCGCAATAGTCCACTTATTTGTACAGGATGTTTTTTCATATATTGACACCCCACCTACAGCCTTTACCTTCACAGGTAGAAGAAAGGTGTAAATACAAAAGTTGTACAGTTTTGACTGAATTTTCAGAAACCATGGTCAGAAATAAAATTTGAATGTCAGAAATGTGAAATTTTGCATGCTTCTAGCTTTTTTAAAATGGGCCTATATTTCATTTTATATTCTTGAAGAGCACAGTGCCCCGATCTATATTTGATTGAGCAATCTCTCATATATTTGGCTTCAAAAATTGTGAAAATACTATCCTACTACTGATTTTGTGAACCATTCTACCTGTACAAGTGAAAGCTGTAGGTAAAATTTGAGGTACTTGGTTTCTCTGATAGTATTTTTAAAATTTTTAGAACCAAATATGTTGGAGACAGCTCAAGCAAATATAGACAAACTATATAGTTTTGAAATCGGGAAATTGTGTTCTTCAAGAATATAGAACCAAATATAGCGCATCCCATTTGAAAAAAGCTGAAAGCATGCAATATTTCACATTTCTGACATTCAATTTTTGTTTTTGATCATGGATTTTAAAAATTTAGCCAATACTGTACAACTTTTGTATTTATACACCTTTCATCTACCTGTAAAGGTAAAGGCTGTAGGTGGGGTGTCAATATTTATAGAAAACACCCTGTACATAATCTTATTGATTTTGTATGAATATTTATTTATTAGAACAAAAAAAAAATACATCAACTCAACCACTAATGATATACTGTTTCTGGTTAAAGTTCTTGGGACAAAGACAAAAGTGTGATTTTGTCCCCCCTGCCCCCCACTGTATCCGTCACTGGCATAAGTATCTGAAGCTAACGCCTCTACAGACTCAGAAAACTTTTTTCTTCGTGTGAACAATTTTGACACAATACATTTTTCGGAAATTTCGAGAAATGTAGCAACGTCACACAATTACTTTATCATAGGTATTGTGTGCCTAGAAGAGTTTTTTCCTAGATTTAGGAAATCCATTCAATAGAAATTCAAAAAAAGGATACAATAGATAAATAGCTATAATTTTCATATTAAAAATAATCAGATCAATAAACGTCATGCATGTAGGTAATCAAAACACCATTAATATATTCAGACGAATCATGACTAATTGATTTGGCAATGATTAACAACAAATTACGATGACCTTTTGCCACGGTTTAAAATCGATCACGAAAATCAAATTACCTGTGAATACTGAATATTCATTTTTCGTTAATGATTACTTACAATATCTAATTGTTATTATTGTTTATTGTGGGTCAATATCAAATAATGCATATGGAAGAATCGCCCTACCGGAACGGACTGATGTTTGAATTAATTATTCTTTATTGATATAAAGGTATATTGGAAGATAATTTTTAAATATAGGTGTTCTTGAAAAACTTCAATACATAATTATATCATGATTTTATTGTACTTCCTTCTTTTGGAAATACTATGGTAGGAAACTACTAGGGACTGTATTGTTCTCATTTACACTTTTCAAACTACTGGCGACCAATAGTGGAAACCAGGTATTAAATCGAAAAATGTCTGATTAAAGTAAGAACAACGACATGGTAGATAAATTCAACGCTTCAGGCATAAACCTATTTTCATTAAATCTGCAAAATTAAACTAAATATTTGAAAACTCACATAGTAACCTTTGGTATTTTGAAACATCAAAATTATGATGAGTGAAAATATTTAGCAGAGCTGTTATTTGCGTCAAAACTTCGTGAATGAAGTGAACTTTTGCTACACGAACTACAAACTTTAAACGCTCATTAGCATTGAATTATGTAATACGAGCATTTTACATTGAATAAGGCAAATTCACCTAGATTCTTATTATGGGAACTAAGATTTGAAAAGAATTGTTTTCAATGTCTGTTTCTTTTATATTGTTTTGAGGAACTGAAAAGAATTTCTTATAGGTAATTTTTATTGGTTATAAAAGTTTGAACATTATTATTGGTTTTCAATATCTTAGTACTGTATGTTTCTGTTATTTTATATTTTCTGCTAATGGCAATGAAGCAAAAACATTAGTGGTTTCTATAAAAATAGTTACATTTTCCAACGTTTCGCAATCAAAATTATATGTATTTCACTATATTTCCTGTATTTGCAAACATCAAATTCTAGATGTTACTAAACTTTCGGTAAAAACTTATAATTTTAAAGTGAAAATTGTCCTAATTAGCAATATTAAATTACCTTCTAAATTGATTCTAATCCAACATTTAAAGCCATTAATTTTCATTTAACTCTATGAAATGTGGGTAATGCTTTTGATTCTTTACAGTGATAAATTAAATGATAGTTATTAAATAATTATAGTGGGTTAAGATAGGATTTATTGGTGTTTTCTGCATTGAGGGGTTTTTGTAATACTATATCTTGCAATATTTTACTATCCAAACCGCATCAAAATTATGTTTGTCAGCAAAACGCGTGTTTAATGATAATCTGGACTTTATTTTGTTTTATTTCAATTTGACAAATTTTTTGTTTATATTGAGGTCCCTTCTACTAATAACACGCATCTACAGCAAGAACTTTCCAGCATCACTGCTAAATTTGTGGCACCAGAAATTGAAAAGCAACTTTGAGAACGACAACTTGAACTACAAAATAACTTCCTCAGAGCCCAGATGAAACAGTCTAGAAGGAAATATGAACAATAATTGCTACACCCTCTTGTGAAAAGTATTTTTATTCCTACATAAACAGATCTCTGTGGTTCAAGACTTACACATTTCACAGTTAGGGATGAAACCGCTAACTGCACCCTTAATGATGAGAAAGAAGTTGCCAATTTGAAGGTTTAGGTCAAATGCCCAACCTGGAAAGAAATAATAATAATATTGCCTGCCGGATACTGGTAGATCAAAAGTAAGAAAATCAAATTTTGAAAGGATGATTTTCTTTGCCTTTGGGTTTTGGTATATTTCAGTTATAAGCTCTTGCAATATACCTATCTCATGAAAATATATTGTCAGAATAATCACAAGAACACACTTTTTACATCCTGAAACGATTAATTAGAAGAAAATCGTGGTAATCAACAGATGTATGTTATTGTTACGTAAAACCAGTAAAACCCATCATTTCATTATGTTTCTTAAAATGGAAAATGACAAACACTTCTTTACTTACTTACACGAAACCGCATTTGTCTTTAACTAACGTGCATGTAATTAACATTGTGTCACGATCATAATATAATAGTGAAGTGAAGATGTTTCGAAATGCGGTCTTTCATTGTTGATGTTTTAAATATTATTTAACAGTTTTTTTTTTTGAAGTCTTCATTAATTTCATTTCGTTTATTACCAGTTAACTGTAATTCGATTTTTTATTAGTGATGATTTCTTCATACTAATATTTGAAACTGTATAATAAGTATAAAAATAATTTTTGTTTGGAGAAAATGTTATAAATTTTGAAAACCCAAATTGAAAATACTGAAAAACTGCTAGAAGCATAAAATGTCAGGAAGTAAATTAAATACCTAACTAAGATTTAATTCTGCATTATTGAATACATAAAGCATTTTTTTATCTAAACCATAATTTACGCTATTCTGTTATTAATGAATATAATAACCGGTTGTTCTATTTTTTCATTACTATCTTATGTCTAGTTCCACTATAATTAAATTATAAATTACAAACAAAATTATATAATAATTTGAAGGCAAATTATTAAACGTTTCAAAAAAAATGCCACTAAATACCCATTAATTTCAATAATAATATTGGGTGAAATTTCTATGAATAATTGTGTTGCGAGGAAGGAATAATCATATTAAAATTCATTTACAAAAATACAATTATTATAAAAAATTAAATTAATAAAAAAAGTGTTAAATGTTAAAATTAAAAGCAAACAAAAACCACTTGAATAATTTTATTCTTACCTTAACACTTTCTCAAAACCAAATTTTTTTGTTTTTATCTCATTCAAATTAACAAAAATATCTCGAAACTTATTCAACAAGACCGCACGCAAATTGGGTAACTCGAGAGTTCACTTGCGGTACAACCGCGAATCGTTAACTGTTTTCTTTAACTCTTTAAATCTCGCGCGCCGTGGTACAGACATGGTACCAGACGGGATGGATGGTAGAACTCTTTGGTAGGAGTACCATGCATGGTAGCGAATACCCTTCTAAAAAAAAATACACATCAAACATCTCTTCAGTTATGATGTGTAAAGATCGAAAATATTAGAAACAGAAACTTTTTGCTGCCCAAGATAAGACGGCTTTTGAGGGCAAGGCAAATACAAAATTATAGAGCCGCATAAATCAGAAAGCAGGCCAATAATAATTGTACCTACTTATTGACTCAAAACCAATGGAAAGTATCGTTTATATTTGACTGATGAGACACTAACACTGATCTTTCTTAATTTGAATCTTAGTTTTGTTAAGGGTACAGTGACTTTTGAACCAACAGAATAATCGTTTTTCTGAAGTGAGAAAAGTTGTAACTTCAGAATATTTGTTATGGAAAGAAACATCATTTGAAGATATTTGAAAAAAGTGAAAGGTTTTAGGTTTAGGTTGTCTGTGAGTGGTCCGATGTCGGCCCTTCCACTGCGACCTGCGGGCTATTGTGACTCACTTCTTATGAAGATGGAAATGAGCGATGGGGAAGCATGCATGCATTATATATTCGGCCATGCCGCAGTCTACAGATCCATTAGAGCTTTAGGGCTTTATTTGCCCATTCCCAGAAGTGTTTCCGCTACTTTTTTCCTGTTTGTGGTGGGACTATTTATGGTTACTTCAGGTTCATACCTGTAACCTCTCCCACTATTGTTTTGCACAGGTTGAGATTGCAGGGTTGGCTGTATTTGGGGCTATTCCCAGTACTGGTTCCAGTCCAATGAAGTAAGTTCAGATCCAACTTTTGTTTTTTCATTGCCTTCTCGTCCGGTATGTCCTGGTATCCAGACTAGTGAGACTTTGATATGCTCCCTTGATCCAGTTACAAATTAGCGGGTCGATGCCTCTCTGGAATTTGATGCCTTATAGTAGAGTTTAGCATCGGATTGTTAAATGCTTCTCTATGTCCAGGAAAGCGGCGAGTGCAATGCTCTTACGTTCCAGAGAACCATCTATGCTAGCTACAAAGTTATAAGTGCCAGCTCTGTGGACTTTCCTGTGTGATAAGCATATTGATGAGTACTAAGGGGATTCCTCTTGAGCCCTTCTCCCTTAATCCACTCATCAGGCAACAGTTTTCATAAAGTTTTCAGCAGGAGAGATGTCAGACCTAGTGTTCTGCATGATTTGGGTGTGGGTTCTTTACACCCTGCTTCCGGGATATAGATCACCATTGTAGCTGTCCAGCTTGGTGGTATATGGTTGCACGCAAGACTGGCTCTAAAGAGTAGCAGAATCCAGAGTCTATTTTGTAGCAGAACAGATCTCTGTGTTGAGTGACTTGGAAGTCATTTATCAGCAGACTCTCTGGGAAGTAGTTCTCATAAGAAGGTACTCACATGTTATCAGTTTGGTCAACGAAATATAAAGTGCAAGAATACCTTTTATACGCAATCTTTATTGTTATAATTAATTAAGATTGTCTAGCAATAAAAAACCAAAACGCAGCTTGTGGTCTACATTCTTTCCATTCGTGATAGTTAAAAAAAACTGGAGCAGAATTTTTATTATTTTTTTAATTGAATTATCCGCAGTGATCAAGAATTTGTCAACAGGTTGAGAAATTTGCTCTCGGCTTAAACCCATTCAAGAGCGATGGTTGGTTATTATGTAACCGAGCCATTTTTTATATTGTACAGTTTTTGATTTAGTATAATGATGGGAATTTTTTTTTCTGTTGCAAGCTCGGTGGAAGTATTATTCAGATTTATGGATAATGCACTGGAAAATGTATGAATTATTGGACCACTTCTTGTATTAGAAGCAATAAGAATAAGTAATAAGAGTTATTGTTATCCAAGGCAAATAACTAATTATTAGGTGTCTGATAGACTTCGTAAAATAATAACCAACTATGAATTTGTTTCAAGTAAAAGTTGTAACCTTTGCTTCGTCAACTTTACTATGCGTTAAGCAAGAAAAAGACGCAAGAGCAGAAGGTTAGGGTCTCTCAACATTTTAAAGAGATTGGCATCTTGATAATCGCAATTATTTAAGGTGCGTTGCGTTTTGATTTGATCTACTTTTAAGTAGTTTGGAAATTTAATTGTTCTGTTAATGTCACGAAAAATTGTCTAACGAATAAAATAGAAACATTTGTAGTTCCTGTGGGTAGCAAGTTTGAAGGTTTAATTATATTGTATAGATGTTGAAGGTCAATATTGTCATACCCTAGAAGTTAGAATGGAAATTTAAATTTATTTATCATATGTCAGCACCCAACAAGCAATCAAATGTTTGAAATTCAAAAAAGTACTTCTTTATATAGGATGCAAAGAAAAGTGGATCCCAATAACTCTCAAACACTGATAAATGCTCAAAACTTTCTTGTTACTTATAGGCAACAGACTCAGACCTCCTCAATCCCTTATAATCTAGAAAAAAATAAACACTGAAGTTCTGAAGTATAATTTTAACCTTTTTAATACCTAATATACATTTTAAATTTAATCACAATAAATACAATAAGAGACTTCTTCAAAAAAAATCAGACGCCTTTTTCCTGCTAGGCAAATTAATCTTTAACAAATCATCAGTGGAAACTTCTTTACCGCCAACCTTTTTAATTCCCAAATCAATTTTTGGTGTACTAACACGTTTCGGAGTTCTTTTAGGAGTAGGTGTTTTTGAAGTCAACTTTGGGGTCCTATACGGGCTAGGACTAGGAGTCAGTAACCTGCTACTTGGTATTCTCATATGCGTTGTTGCCAGCTTTCTTGCTGCTGGAGACATGGTTGCCAGTCTATCGATTGAAGAAGTATATGGTCTAGGAGAAGGCCTAAAAAACATTATTTATTACAAACATTATATTACAAAAAAATACAAATGCTTACGTGCTGAACTGTTTTCGTTGAGCATCCAAAGCTCTTTTTTTCTGATCCCTATTTTTCTCTCCAACTTTTTCAGCTAAAGCCAAAGCAATTTGTTCCCTTCTTGGTGGCTCGGACATTTTGAATGAAGGTCCTTGCGATCTTGGTAATGGAGTATCGCTTCCATCCAACCTGAAAGGGGTACCTTCGATTTCACCCCAAGTCATTAGAGGAGTACCCAAAACGCTTGGTGAAGGAGAAGGTGTTCTAACTAAACTAAAACCTCCAATTTTTGGTGTTTCTGGCTTAAGCATTTCTTTACCGTCAACCCCAATTTTGCCATCTAATATTTTAGCTTGATTTTTGGCTAATTCGTTTATAGTTTCTTTGTTTTGGAATTCATTGAAAGGATTTATTATTAGTCTTGTATTATCGTGACTTATTTCTTGTTTGTTTTGTAATATTTTTAATTCTTGTTCTTTTGTTAGGGCCACTCCATCTGGATTGTACATTAGTGAATTCCTATTTTTATATCCCCACAGGTCTAGATTAAAAGGTTTTTCTGGTAAAGCCGCTTGTTGCTCGACTGAAGGCAGAGCTAACATTTTTTGCTGGTTTTCCTCACTACTGTCTTCAACTCCATATAAATATTTATATTTTTCTCTATGTTTTTGTTCATGAGCATCTAAAATTTCTTCAAAACTTTCATTGTCTTCTGAAGTGTGAGAATTCAGGTACTGATCCAAAGTGAGTTTTTTACAATTTGTTGTTTGCTCATTATTATTGTCATTTGAAGTTGCATTTTTATTTAAATTTAGTAGGTCGTCTTGGGGTTGGTGAATGTTGGTTGGCGTTTCGAATGTTGCAGGACTTGGCACTAGAAATAGAAAATAAATATGTATAGTACTTATCATGCGTGAACAGGAATAAAACACTCAGAGCAGACCCAAACTCAGTCATCTTCCAAGTATTGAGCCTCATAAAAATCAAAGTCATCAAAAATAAAGAATAGGTGAATAAGAAATAGGACTGGAAACTGTATGAGAGGAGACAGATAAAGTGAAATAGAAGTTGGCAGGACATAAATATTAGGCATAAAGATTGAAGATGGAACAAACCCATAGTACCTACATAGATAAATAGGAGAACACAGAAATGAGAAAGAGAAAAAAGAAAAACGGCGGCCTCAAATGAGGTGGGCAGGCGATTAAAGAAGCAAGTTGATCCAAGGACAACTTATGCTGTACTGTACTGTAAAATAACTACCTTATTATGTATTTTTCCATGAATTATCTTGTTGGGTTTAAATATTTCTCAGGTCTAGCTAGTTGTACATGCACTGATGAAAAACTATAACTTACTTCTTTCTGTAGGTGGTTTCCTTCCACTATATTTCATATACAATTCTCGTAGCCTCACAGTATCGTTTCTCTCCATAGCACCAAGATATTCATTCTGAGCCTTTATTTTTTCAAGGTCTGGGAAAAAGTCTCTTTGAATTATATTTGCAATATCCTTTTAAAAAAAACATATCGATGTTAGAATACAAGCTAATTGTAAAATATTTAGACATGAAATACCTCAAAATAAGTTTCTTCGTCGAGCACCTTGACTTTCTTGCGTTTTCGAGCAGTTTCTGAAGGTTTTTTAAAAACTAAGTCTTTGTGGGCTTCGTTAACTTCTAGTGCCATACGGCCTGGGGTATCTTCTACAGAATCGCCCATATTTTGGTAAGGAAATCAAATAACAATGATTATTATTTAAAAAATTGTTTACGTTTTGTGCTGTTTTTTGATTTTGAGGTTAGGAAACTACTATGACATGAGTGTCATGTCAAAAGTGACAAAACTGTTTTAGCTACGTTCTCTATTTCGAATTATTTATTTATTCGGAGCAAAACGAGTGGATCACAGTCATCCAAATACTACATTCTGGACTCTGGAGGGCTCCTGGTAAATCTTTTTTCTCTGGATTTCAATGAGAGGACTCGCAGATTCCTGAACGGTAAATTCTAATATTTATTACCATTACCACTTTCAAATTACTTACAAAAGAAAAAAATGTTGGTTCCTATGTTTTGGAACGTAGCTAGAGCGGGTTTTCATTTTTATATCTGCTCTGCTTCAAGCAGATCGACTCCTGATCTCATCTTTACAGAATACTCTATGTATGTAAAACATTAGTTAGCAGAACATTCCATAGAGGACGCAGTATGTACTAGCTAAAAATTACAATGTCTAAAAATAAGGTCGGCGTCTGTGTATTTGTATTTTTTATCACATAAAACATCATATAAACAGAAAAATGCAGTGAAAGGAAAATATTTCAAATTTTATTTTGTGCTTTTGGCAATTTGCATGCCTTGACTTCAAAAAGTGAGTGATTTTCAATTTACATTACAATTATTTATGAGAAGAGAACATTCTGATTACTTGCCATTATTATACATGGTGGGGGAATCAGATCACAAAGATCAAATTACCAATTTTGATTTTGAGAAAACTATCTCAAATGATTTTATTATGTAGGATTTAAACTCGAGGGAAAGTAATGGGTTTACTCGAATTTAATATATTATCATCAAACTATTATTAGCTACTATAGGTATAATATTATTATCACAATACAAAGCCATTTGCACAGATTGGTGTAATATCCTGATAATTGTGTAGGACACAAAAAAAAAGTAGGTAAGAAGAAAGGTCACTGTCCATAATGGACGTCAAAATTTGATAATACGCACACTTTAGAGTAGCTCAGCTTCCTTTCCTTCTTAACCCAGGTTGACACAGTCCAAGTGAACTTGGATGAGAACTTGGACCAAGTAAGTTGATATGATCCAAGTATCCTCCAAGTGAGGCGCGCAATGTCCAATGGTATTTGATTGCTGTCCATAATGCCGATGCACATCAAAATTTGATAATATGGACACTCTAGAGTAGCTTCAGCTTCCTTCCCTTAGGCCAGAGCGAGGTCCAGGGTGACACGATCCAAGTGCTATTGATCCAAATGCATTTAGATGAGAACTTGGACCAAGTAAGTTTGCAGCCAGCACTTACTTGGATGTTAGGATCTATCCAACTGGACTTGATTAAACAGTTGATACTCTTAAGTGACGCGCGCGGTGTCCGAGGATATTCGATCCAAATACACTTGATATTAGGGACACTCTAGAGTCGCTTCAGCTTCCTTCCCTTAAGCTAGGATGACACGGTCTAAGTAAAATTGGATGAGAACTTGGACCAAGTAATAGTTGGCAGCCATCCTACTTACTTGGAAGTTGGATAGGTCCTATCCAACTAGATTTGGATAAACATTTGATACGATCCAAGCAGCATCCAAAGAGTACTTGATTCAAGTACACTTGGACCGTATCAACCTGGCTTAACTCAAAGTAGCAAATATAAGACGTCGTTTTCTGTTGAACCGTGTTTTAAAAAGTTTCAAAACTGGTTCGATTGTTACGTCATCATATCGGTGGTGATCAAAAATGGCCCGTTTCAAAACGGAGCACGTGATATCTCCAAAGTTATTGTTTTGTGTACTATAGCCACCGGCGTATCCAGCCCATGCGTCTGGGGGGGGTAATCAGCCCATTTTTTCCCGGGTGCCTCGCCCAAAAACGTTTACTTTGAGCCTTCAAAAAAAAAATTTTCTACGAGAGTGAGGACAATTAAACAGTGCGGAAAATCGATTTTCTCGCACGGTGCGGCGAATTTTTTCCGCACGGATATCGGTGCGGAAAAATCTAAATCTTTTCCGCATGGCTGTCAAAAAAAAAATCAATAAATGACTACAAATTATGTAGGTATATGCAAGGCAGTGTTGTCAATCTGAATTTGTGAAATTGCACGATATGCTGGTAAAATTACACGTTTTTACACGCTTTCATTTTTCACAATTACACGATTTTGACACACGATCTTGGTAACCAATCTGTAACATCAAGAAGCAAGTATTTTTTTTTGGGATTTTGGGAAATGGGTTAAATCGTAATGCCCGATTGCACCGTCTCTCTTAACCGAGGCTTAGAGATAACTATTCCTTAAAGTGACATTTTCCCATGCAAAACTGTCAATTTAAGGGATAGTTATCGTTAAGCCTCAGTTAAGAGAGATGGTGCAATCGGGCATAAATCCAGTCAAATCTGAGGGTTAATGCTCCTGATCATAATTCCTCAACGAAAAATAAAAATGTGGCAACTACAGAAAAGCGTTCCGAAAGTAATCGAATTACTAATTACTGGTTCCTGGAAAAGAGGTTACTTTTGTACCTCAGTTTCCTGCAAGGATACTACACACTACTACTATAGGATAGTCTATCCTCATAAGGCCTGTGTAGTTCAATCTGAAGCCGCCGCTGCCATGCCAAAATATCATCAGTGATGACGTAGACAGCTTGTCGTTTCTCGTCTTCACGTAGGGTGTTTGTACCACAGGTTATGATTCCGCGGGCTTTTCCTTTATGCAAAACTTGGTTTCACTACATTAATTAATATTCTGAAACAACTCTTTCCCGTTTTTGGTAATCGCCGCCATATTGGTTTTCAACCATTGTCGACGTCATAACTAAGTTTTCAGCTGTTTAAACAGCCTACGTCAAGGCGAGAAACGCCATGCTGCTTACGTCACAACTGGTTGTTTGGCTAAAGGGGGTAGAGGGGGATTTTTTACAATCAGGCCTTATGAGGATAAGCCATCCTGTAGTAATAGTAGTGTGTATCATCCTTGGGTATATGTACCTACTTATTTCCGCACGTCTGTAAAAAACCTATTGTACCTAACACATGCGAAAAATCTGTCTTCCGAACTTGGCTGCTTCACCGAATTCCGCTACGCGTCTTTGGGTGAACGACAGACTCGTGCGGAAAAATTCATTCTTCGCACTTGTTAGGTAAATATGTTCTGTACTACCAACAAATAACGAAACCGAACTCTGATAGCGAATTCCATTGGAATAAAGGTTAGTGCGCACCGAGTGTATTCGTATCTTATTCTACCAGCTTATATAAGAAAGAGATAAAAATACACTTTTTCGCACTGATTTTACCAATGGAATTCGCTATGAGAATCGCCTAAAACTTTTCAATTATAGGCATAGCGAATTCTATTGGTAGGATTAATACAAAAAAATTATTTATCTCTTTCTTATGCAAGCTAGTAGAGAAAGATATGAATACACTCAGTGTGCACTATCCGTTTGAATAGAATTCGCTATAAATGGCATGCGGGCAGTGCGGACACTGTGCAAATTAGAAAACAAGTTAGGGCCAGTTGCTGAAAAGTAAAAATATAAAAAATAGATTTATTTGTAAGGTGTAGGGTACATTTTTTTCGTCCATCGTAACGATCTTGGGGGGGGTAATTACCCCCATTACCCCCCCCTTGTATACGCCGGTGACTATAGCTGAGTTCGGAATGGGATTTCAGTGCAGTGCTAGTAAGGTGTTCGTGTAGTGTAGTGTGTAGTGCAGTGTTAAATCACATGATGAAGATGTAATCGGCGGTGTAACATCAAATACACCATCATTTTGTACCAAGTAAACAGTGTCCCACCATCTTCACACCATCCGGGCACCAAATTATTTCCAAACGCAAATAAAGTGTACACCAAACTTAGGTACTCCTACTAATTAACGAACGCCACAGTGTCAATAAAGAAGTGTCGACACTTTCCACCATTCCGAACTCATACCAAATGGTATTTAAGCCTTTGAGGTCAGCTGGTTGAACGTCTATTTTTAAACGGACTCAAAGAGCGGTTCGAAATTAGTTGAACCGTTTCCGTATATCACGTCACCGTTGCAACACCAAAATGTAGCGTTTCAAAACATTCCGTCAAAAAAAGACATCTATAGGTACAATATCTCTGATGAGGTACCTACAATTTGTAGATGTAAGTCATCAGTGGTCATTTCAAAAAGAAAATCATCAACCTCTCGGAGTGAAATTATCATTGGAAATTAACGAGGAAGTATCCTAATCATTAAAAAAATCATGTGCAGCGCCGTACACGTGGTAGAAGTGGAACTTCTTAAAAACTATCCTCCATTCATAAAACTTTCAGACTTGGCGTATGAGTTAGGTTAAAGACGAAAGATTTGTAGTGACATCAGCCTTAAAAGTTCAGCAATTTACCATGAGAGACAGTCTTGAATCGTGTCAGTTACTTTACAAAGGTTGGTTGGCCAACTCATTGAACTCATATATTTCTGATCCTATAAGTTTAAAACCATATTTTCAAAGAAGACATGAACTGAGTTTGGAAAATGGATGTTTGCTGTGGGCTAATCGGTTGATATTCCCTTATAATTAAAAAAAAAAAAAAATGGTCCCTAAAGTCATCGTGCCGTACTGTCGATCCTCCTCCTTTACCTATTGAGTCTGCAGTAGAATCGGCTGCTTACGGTGAAAACTCGCCGATTAGTAGTACCAAAGAATGTGGTACAGATTTGAGTATAAGTTCAAATAGAAATAGAAACAGCTTAACACCACTTGAGTTTGGTTCTAATCCGGGTTCTAATAATTCATCAATTGGTTAGTCATAAATAATTATTAAAAATGCAGTTATGATTGTTGGCGATTTTGACCAATCAAAAACGCTCTGACTGGTTTGTGATTTCTGTGGAAACAGACCTATAGTCAGTTTACCAGTTCGTTTGTGGTTTCAGTTAGTTACAGGTTACAGAAATCAATAAAGTTTAATAGAGTTTGACTTCAAAATCGTTAAGTGATTGCGTTCCCCGCAATTGTTAAAAAAAAAGCTGAAATCCCAGGGATTGCCGCAATACGTGTACATTTTTTTGGGAGTGAAACATTACTGGTAAAAATAGTCTTATATTACAAAAAATTGACATTGATCCTGGAAACTTGAACAGCTTTTATTGGACTATCGCTGATAATATTCTTACTGCAGCCGTCAACTCGGATTTTGATCCATTCAGTTATCTTGAAAACTTGCATGTCAATAAATCTTACATAAATACCTCCCTCTTATCTAACCATGTTTCAGTCAACACTAACATATCATAGTAGTTATTTATCACATATCCTTGCATATCGTCTATTTTGTTTCATATACTCAGACCAATAAGCCTATACTATTACACCTATATAAACATTTCACTAGAATTATCAACAATCGACTGACTACGAAGCTAGACTCCTACCAATCGGTAGAGCAAGCAGGCTTTCGAAGGGGCTTTAGCACTACAGACCATCTGCAAACAATTAGGGCAGTCATCAAGAAAACAACAGAATAAAACATACCCCTACATCTGGCGTGTGTGGACTACCAGAAAGCCTTTGACAGCGTTGAAACCTGGTCTCTTCTAGCGGCAATGGAGGACGCAAGAATCGATTCGAGATACTTTACC